AAAGACCCTCCGTCAAGAGGCAGGTGGACACGCTGCAGGTCGAGAATCGTGAACTAAAGAAAAAGACGACGGAGACCGAGGGAGAGTGTGATGGCTAGCAACAGCAGAAACGAGACAGGCACTGATACAGACACCACTCCAGAGGCTCGTTTGAGCGCAGACTGCTGAAACAGTGCAAAGAGCTCTGGCTCGACACTCAGAGGAGCCAGATGAAGGACTCGACGCAGGATGGCGAGCTCCGGGGAAGTACCAGAGGTCGAAGAGTGAGGAGCGAGAGTGGAGGAGCAGCTTGAGGCTGCATAGAAGACAGTGACAGAGTACGGGGACAAGATTCAGTCTGCTGGAGATGGAGGTGAACGTTCTCAACTGGGTCAGGGTCCTGTCTCTCGTCGTGAAACCCGTTTCTTCTCTTCACGCTGGCGATGGTGGCACTCAATCCAGAGCAAGAGGACAGTGCGTGGATCTGGGTCACTACTGGATCGTGTAGTAATGCGTCCACTACTTCTATAATGTTGTATTCCATGATGTTTTAGTGTGTTTGTGACTGTTTTTCTCTATTTTTGACAGCTCATTGTGTATATACATGTCAATTATATACTTTTTATGTATATTATGATGATGAGGAAATGCTCTATGGTTCTATGGCTTTGCGTAGACCTGCAGTAAAACATGGTACAATGACGTAATTAAAACTGTATACGAATAAATAGAAGTCATGTGGAATAGGAACTGAAGACTTACGTACTAGCAATGGTGTCTGCCTTGTTTGGAAACTGTTTCTCAGCTTCAGTGTAACACTCTACTGCCTATACTACGACTAGGGCCAATGGTGTCTGCCTTGTGTGGAGAACTGTTTCTCGGCTTCAGTGTAATCACTCTCTAGCCTATACTTACGTACTAGCAGTGCGCCTGCTTTTGGAAACTGTTCTCAGCTTCAGTGTGTACCACTCTACTGCTATACTTACGTACTAGCAATGGTGTCTGCCTTGTTTGGAAACTGTTTTTCAGCTTCAGTGTAACACTCTACTGCCTATACTTACGTACTAGCAATGGTGTCTGCCTTGTTTGGAAACTCTTTCTCAGCTTCAGTGTAGCACTCTACTGCCTATATTATATGTAGTGTATGACGCAGTACACATAACGAAATAGCCACAGCCAGCAAACCTCTTTCACTCTGTGTAGGCCAGTTAGTGCCTTTGCTCTCTGCAGGTACGCCTTCAAATTGCATGGCTCCAGCTACTTAATGTTGTAGAGGCAATTGTTAGTGACCCATACACGTGTACTATTTACCCTTATAGCAGAATCACAGTCCACAATTGCATCATCATAGCACCCTAGTCGGTTATATGCCTACACACAAAATAAATGAAACTTTATCTTTGTGCTTTGTGTTTGACATACTAGAGCTCTGTTGGTGTAGAGGCTGATGTCCCATGGAGTATGTCTCAGAGCCACAGAGAACTCTGTCACTGCATTCTCAAACTGGCCAGCTCTGAATGCTGTGTTCCCTCTCTTCTTGTGATCCCTCCCCTGTGCCTCCCTCTCCTTCCTCCTCTCTCCTCTATCCCTTGCATCTTCCTCCAGTGTCTTCATAAACTCCACATGCTCTACAGCATGTAGTATATATGTGTGTGGGGGACCATCACCATATTTGTCACCGAGTTCAGTGAAAGTATTATAATGGGAATTGAGGAAATCTCATTCATGAATTCCACATGCTCAGCTCAGTGTGTGGGACCATCACTATAATGAGTTCAGTGAAAGTATTAAAATGGAATGGAGGAAATCATAGTACATTATATATACTCACTATCTTTTTATGGGTTTAGAGAGGAAACAAAGTGGTTATATACCCTTTTCGCTTCCTCTGGAGCTGTGTTCATCAGCTGACTGCCCCTCTCCCGTGTTGATGACACTTCTGTCGTGGGTCACCCTGTCCCCACCTTGCCGGGCTAGGTACTCGTCTGCTCTCCTGAGAGCATTCCCTGCAGCTGCCACAGACCCGCCTCTCAGATCACTCACCAGGTCACCTGGAGGTAGGGTAGGAAGTGTACTTACCAATTGCATCCCCTGCTGCAAAGGCGGTTTGAATTTCTCTCACCGATTTCATCAATTTTGGCCAGGAAACTAGAGAGCTCTTTGTCTTTGAGCTCCTCCCCGTTTTCTTCCATCTTCTTGAGCAGAGCGCGGCGCGCGCAAGCTTGTATCACGTGGTGCTCTATGACGGATAAAATTGGCCGGTCAGCCAGCAAACAGTCTGATGATCTATAATCTAGAACAAGAGAAACAGCTCTCCTGTCGGGGATCGTGGTAGCTCTCTTGATATCTCAGGTACTAGGTGGGTCGTATATTAGATCCGTAGAGCCGAGCGTACTGTGGCAGCAATACCTTGCCTGTGGCTGTACTGTACTTTGGTTACCAATAGTGTCAGTGAGTGCTATACCAACACAGTAGTAAGACCTCAGTCAAGGATATGTTCCTCAGCCTGTCATCCCCACACAGTTATGAACTGTCACACGATGGGAGGTCGGAACCAACCCCCTGCATGCAGCCCTGCGGTCACCAGCTACCTCCCGAACCTGGGCTCCAGGCAGCTGAGTCACGATCCTCTCCAGGGGCTCTCCCGGCTCCAGGAGCAGTGCTACGGACTGCCCTCTGTCGTGCGGCGACTGAGCCTCCAACACAGACTGGAGGCACACGAGGGCTGCGTGAACTGCATCAATTTCTCGGGGAGCGGGCAGTTGCTGGCATCGGGGAGCGACGACCTGCATGTGGTGGTGTGGGACTGGGAGCGAGGCAGGATGGTCTCCAAACTGGAGTCAGGGCACATCTCAAATATCTTCCAGGTCTGCACACTGACACTCTGTGTATTCTGTCCTGTGAACACAGGGGTGAGCGTGATCAACTGCTTATAATGTACTATGTATGTACTGTACTGTGTATTTTACGAACGGTGCTTTCAACTGTACTGTATGTGCTCAAACTAACACAGTGTATGTGGTCCAATTCAATCTTGCTATATACATACCCCACAGGCCAAGTTCATGCCGTACACTGGAGAGAGTGTGTTGGTCACTGCAGCACGAGATGGACAAGTGAGCACTCAACTGTCACATTACCCCTTCCTCTATCCTCTTTACCACACTCTGTCTGCCTAATCCTCCTCCTATTTTACATTTATCTCCTCCTTCTCGGTCTCACCCCTTCCTTCACTTTTCTCCCCTCTTCCACCCACCTCTTTCTCCCCTCTCCTCTCTACTGGGGTCTATTATAGGTGAGATGTCTCATCCTGTCCTCGACGGGTAGTCTAGTGGCCTCTAAGAGGGTGGCCCTGCACAATGACTCTGCTCATAAGGTGGATACACTTGCCATTCTGTTTACTTTCCTTTAGTCATATAGTGGTTTTTGCTAATGCTGGTGTTAACCCTTTGGACACAATGGTATCTTCTTAAATAAGCAGAATTTTATGTATAAAGTATTAACGCCTAGTTTTATAACCCCTTATGAATTCTTATGGACTTATGGATGCTCCGGCATGTGTCCACGGTTGGTTAGGTGTTAAACATACATACCAGGTTTTTGTTTTCAAATTGCCACAGTGTTCAATTGCCAGTAGTTTAGGACACCATTACCTCTCATTATAACCTCATTCCCTGGTTGAGAGCAGGGGGAGACATACACGTAGGATACTTTCATATATGCTGTTGGCCTTGACCCCAAGCGCAAGTGTGGCCATAGGCTAAAATCATTATACATAAGAGCCTCCTCCCCTACACGTACATATGTGTTGGTTTCAAGCACCGTGCACCTGCATTTCACTGCTTCTTTGCAGATAGCTCTGGAGCCCTACTCTCCAGACATGTTCCTCAGCTGTGGAGAGGACGGCAGTGTTCTAGAGGTGGACCTGAGGGAGGAGGCCAAGAGAAACAAGTGAGAGACTCTTCTCTACCTGTCTGACACACCATCTGTGTTAGCAGCTAATGTGTAGCTGTAGGCACTGCAGTTGTTCTCTCACAGGAAAAGGCACACTTAATTTTACATGTTGCCGCTAAGTTGCCAAGCAAAAGTTTTTTTGGGGGGAACATACACAGTTAGGTATCCAATGGATTGTAAGATTGGAACAAAGTGTGTGTGTGTGTGTGTGTGTGCATGCATGTGTGTGTGTGTGTGTTTGTGATTGGGGAAAGAAGAGAGAGAGGTAAAGTGTAGGCAGGACTAAAGCTAACGAGAGAGGGCGGGCGGCTTTTGTCGGCGTCACCGCATGCAGCCAGCCAGGTGCTTAAACATACATGTAAATCTATCCACAAGTCCAGCAACATGCAGGTGCAGTGCTAGGCTCTTTGTTACTGGTCATCAGGGGAGTTCCCAATCTTTCACCATGTCACACGCGTTTCGGCCTCTTTAAACTCCCGACACGTGATACACTCCAGAAAGGGCGAGGCCACTCCACCTGGTTGGAGTCCAGATTTGCCTACTACATGACTACAATTATTGTACTTACAAACTTACATAAAGGCAATTTTAGTATAGCAGCTAGTATCCTTAGTAATAACTTGTCTCATTCTTTGGTCTTCTCTATTCGTCACTTCTTTCTTTCTTCACTCTTGCTCTACTACAGGCAAGCTTGGCTTGTTGTGGATGTTATGTCTACTAAAGTCAAAACTTCCCATGCTGTTAATTAGAGTGTGTGTGTGTGTGTGTGTGTGTGTGTGAAGAAAGGGAAGAGGAGTAGGTATATAGGGAACAGGGTTTTATCACCTGTGCAACAACCGAGCATCTGTCGTCATCCACCAGCACCCATACACATGTGGTTTGTGTCTATGAGCATATTTCTGTGTGTATGTGTGTATACGTTTTTGTCTGCGCATGTGTGTTGAGACTTGGGTAACAATTCCACACCCTCCCTGACCCAGGCTTCTGGTGGTCAAGAACGAGAAGAGAAGTCGTATTCCTCTCTACTCCATCTTCATCGACCCCTGCAACACACACCTGTTTGCCGTCTCCGGCAGAGACCAGTTTGCAAGGTAAAGATAGAGCTACCGCTTTCCCTACTACTGAATGGCTCACAAGCCTAGTAAAGTTGTCTTGCCATGTTCTCTATGTACAGTAGTATAATGTGAGTTATAGGCCTATGGCATAAAGTAATTGGTCAAAGCCGGGGTATTAGTGACTCCTACACACCCCTTTTCATGTACTTTCCTCGGCTAATGTGTACACTTGGGTATCTAATTTCATGTACTTTCCTTAGGCTAATGTGCATTGGGTAGCTAATTCATGTACTGTCCTTAGGCTAATGTGTGCATTGGGTAGCTAATTTCATGTACTTTCCTTAGGCTAATGTGTGCACGTGGTAGCTAATTTCATGTACTTTCCTTAGGCTAATGTGTGCATTGGGTATCTAATTTCATGTACTTTCCTTAGGCTAATGTGCACTGTGGTAGCTAATTTCATGTACTTTCCTTAGGCTAATGTGTGCACTGTGGTAGCTAATTTCATGTACTTTCCTTAGGCTAATGTGTGCACTGTGGTAGCTAGTTTCATGTACTTTCCTTAGGCTAATGTGTGCACTGTGGTAGCTAATTTCATGTACTTTCCTTAGGCTAATGTGTACACTGTGGTAGCTAATTTCATGTACTTTCCTTAGGCTAATGTGTGCACTGGGTAGCTAGTTTCATGTACTTTCCTTAGGCTAATGTGTGCACTGTGGTAGCTAATTTCATGTACTGGTGTATTAGTGTGTTAGGGTATATACATGTTGAGTAACAGATCTTCTATTCTTTTGCAGAGTGTATGATAGAAGAAAACTTAAACAAGACCATGTGCGTCAATACACATGTACATGTACATGTAAATTTAACTGGATGATATGTGTACATTGCTATAATGTGTTGTATTGATTATGTGCATATTGTAGAGTGTGTAACATTGGAACATATATTTTATAGACAAGCGATTTTGTTCCTCTGAAGAAGTTCTGCCCAAAGCACTTGGTACGTATCTCACATGTAGAATGGGGTATTAATTGAGAGTGTAATGTGATTGTGTGTGCGTGTGTCATGCAGACATCTCCAGAGAATGAGCACATGAGAGCCAACGTCACGTGTCTGGTCTACTCCCACAATGGCGATGGTAACACATTATTTTACCACAGATGGATAGTTGTAGACTGGGTAGACAAGCGGGGTTTGTAGTAGGAAGTCTTGAACTCACTTGAATGGTGTGTGGCATGTGATGTTATAATGCCTAATTGGTCGTTTATTCAAGTCGTCTAATTGTGTCGTATGTATATCTCTCTCTTTTCTCTCCCATGGCTAGAGTTATTATGTAGCTACAATGACGAGGATATCTATCTATTCAACACCAGAGATGAGTGAGTTAGTGGCCAAACCCTAGTATACTTTGTCATATCTCTTCTCTCTCTCTTCGTCATCTCCCTCAGGTCTAAAGCTGATGACTTTATAAAGAGATACCAGGGACACAGGAACAGTGCCACAGGTGTTTAAACACAGTACATGAATAGTTTTGCCATAGGCATTGTGTGACAGACACTATCTGAGTGGTAACCTGCAAGTTGCAATGAAGGGTGAGTATCAACTACCACGCACATGTGTGTTTCTAGTACAATCAGGGTTTCCAATGTAGTGACAAAAGTCCGGCATAAACAAATATGTACAATATTGACCGTTCCTCACTGACATATTGGGTGTGGTCTGATGGATAACGACTCACACACTAGATCGAGAGGTCCGGGTTCGGTCCCAGGTCTGTGGTGTTTTTTTATAATCATGTAATGTGAGTGTTGATATAAGAGGAACGTTTTTTCATCAGCTCTCGTGGCCAGCCCAAGTGGCTAAGTGGTTAGAGACGTGGGGACTGTCACATAAGGTGCCCGGTTCGAATCCCGGACCCGCACTGAAACTGACAGGTGGTCCAGAGCATTGGCTGGGAACAGCTCTGGTTCCTCCCCTTACCCATGAATCTGCCATTGACCCACATACATCTCGAAGGACAGCGTACAGTTTGGCATTGCACTGCGTCCATAGACGTCTGTCTGGAGAGATGTAGGGTGGCTTTTTTTTCAACCTTAAAAAAAACATTTTTTACCTAAAACAATCCATGGATAAACTTAAATGATGCAAGACATTCAATTATGATTTTTAATGGATGGCCAATATTGTTTTTAGAAGCAACTCTTTCGGATGGCCAGTATTGTTTTGCATAATGGAAGAAACCTCTCAACAACTCTTTGATTGCCCATTACTTGTTACACCAGATTTGCTTTATGCTTTTGTAATAATGTCAGAAAAACTAGCGCCACAAAACTACCACTCCTCATGTTGAGTTTGTGTAGTGATGAAGATATTCACTTTCAAGAGCCCTCAGTACACATACACAGCGAAGGTTAAAGTACTAGACTAGCAACAGAGTAAATTGAAAACGCATAGCCAAACCTATTATTTAGCAGTACCGTGCATGTGTAAAGTGCGCCGAAGGTTTGCACTTTAGTGCTTTTCATTTTTCATGCACTACTAGCTCTGGCATCGCTTGTAGTGCCAGAATAGCTGCAGACAAACAGATAGACACACAGACCACGTACTGTAACCCTCGCTGCGCAGCTATTACTGAAGCAATTTTTGTCTCCCCACCACTTATTGCTCTACCCCACACTCAATAGTGAAGGGAGTGAACTTCTTTGGTCTAAGGAGTGAGTATGTGGTGAGTGGCAGTGACTGTGGCCACGTGTTCCTCTGGGACAAGACCTCTCAGCAGGTCGTACAGATGTTGGAGGGAGACCATGAAGGAGTGGTATGTAGTACGTAATGTCAATGATGTGGATTTTCAAGTTTGTGCCCTGTAGACACCTTCCTATCCCCAAGCTTTATCGAGAGTAGTAGATAGGCCAAGAGTGCCAGGATAGCGTAAAACACTGCTTGTACGTGCATAGCTAAACAACAGCCAAATTTGTAGTCTATCATGTGAACACATGCGGCTGAACTTGCTTTCATCACACGGCCTTCATTCCAGGGTAATTAGACACAGTACACACACAACTCTTTACCTTCTCAGCTACCCTTGGGGGAGTATCTATTCTTTTTTCTTTGGGATTGTGCCAGTTTAATATTGCTAAACGGACATTCTTTCACTGGATTTATTCCATCTTTAGTAACATTTTAAATTTAGCTTTTGTCACATTCCTCAGTGTGGTAGGTTTGTAGATGAAAATACTATTACAGAGCTGCATTGTGTCATCACTCTTTCCACCAGTCCTTAACCCTATGCACATCTTTCACTAATGGTCTGGTTCCAGCTCAACTGTCTAGAGCTGCTTATGATATAGAGTTGCTTACCATACCATAGAGAGCTGCATTGCTTCACCTGTCCTAAACCCACCGATGCTGTCTGGTTGCAGGTCAACTGTCTAGAGCTGCTTATGATATAGAGCTCACCATACCATATAGAGCTGCATTGCTTCACCTGTCCTAACCCCACCGATGCTGTCTGGTTGCAGCTCAACTGTCTAGAGCTGCTTATGATATAGAGCTCACCATACCATATAGAGCTGCATGCTTCACCTGTCCTAACCCCACCGATGCTGTCTGGTTGCAGGTCAACTGTCTAGAGCTGCTTATGATATAGAGCTCACCATACCATATAGAGCTGCATTGCTTCACCTGTCCTAACCCCACCGATGCTGTCTGGTTGCAGCTCAACTGTCTAGAGCTGCTTATGATATAGAGCTCACCATACCATATAGAGCTGCATTGCTTCACCTGTCCTAACCCCACCGATGCTGTCTGGTTCCAGGTCAACTGTCTAGAGCTGCTTATGATATAGAGTTGCTTACCATACCATATAGAGCTGCGTTGCTTCACCTGTCCTAAACCCACCGATGCTGTCTGGTTGCAGGTCAACTGTCTGGAGCCTCACCCACACACACCAGTTCTGGCCACCAGTGGACTGGACCACGACATCAAGATATGGTCTCCCTGCGCCTCCCAACCCACCTCACTGGACCAACTGGACGAGGTGTGAAGTTACTTACTAGAACGAATGCCACGCATTTTTGGCGAGCGAGTAGTCCAATTTCTGCACACGTATGTGCCCATCACATATAAATTTAGATAAATTCCGCACTGATACGATATAATGTATGCTCACTTTGCTCTCAAAGTATACTACTGCAATAGCTACTGATCTCATGTGTTTGAGTTGTGTGTGTCTTTGCCTCTAAACCTTGATACACAAAACACCTGGTTGTACAGTAAATCTGCCCATGTGTGATTAAACGAGGCATTCAATTGCACACACACACTGTGACACACACACCTGGTCTTGCAGGTAACGAAGCGAAACTGTAATGAGCGTGAAGATGCCATGACTCACCCCATGGACGGATATGAGATGCTCATGCAGTTCATAGTCAGACAGTACCGCAGAGGAATACGGGTTAGCATGACATAACAATTATTCGTGTTCTTATCAGTGTTCAGTGTTTTGAAACAGACCATCTCTACAATGCATAAGGCCTCTGAAAATGAAGAAAGGACACCTCTATAAAACACACTGTCTTGGTTCTTAATACATTAGTGTATTTTGTAGGCTAGAAACCATAGAAATCAAAGCTTCCAACAACAGTACATTTGTATGTGCTGATGCTGGTCTAGTATACACCTGCGTTAATTGCATTCCAATGGCAGTATATACCACTTGTGGCAGAGCAGAGCTTTGTGAAAACCTATTTTCACTCGGCAACTTTGGGGCTACAGACGCTAGTTTTGTCGCAGGTTGGGTTTGTGCTTCGTTGGTGAGTTGTTTTCCAGGCTCTATATAGCCAATTCTCGTTTGCGCAAATGAGCTGTCATGCCTATGGCACACAATTGACGGCAATGCAAGAGTAGTCTTGTGCAGCCAGTAGGAGACTACTGTCAGATTTGTCTAGGCTACAAACCCATGGTTAGAAGTCATACAGGTCTATAGACCCTTGGTGCTTTTTACTACCACCCTTGTGCAGTATATACTAAAGCACCTCGGGTATAATATATATTCCCCGTATACCATCCCAACCCATGAGACTTCCGAACAAGGGAAACCTCTGAATAAGCAGACAACTTCGATGTCCCAAAGATGTCCCTTATTCAGAGGTTTCGCAATCAAACACACTGATCGCTGTATGCTCTGCAGCGTCGTATTGGAGTGACTGAAGAGAGTGACTCCAGTTCAGAGGACGCGATGGAAGGAGAGGAGGTTCAGTTTGAGGCCCAGGACTCTGACTCTGATGAGGAGGGAGGAGGAGGAGAGCGAAGAGTCAAGTATGTAGTAAAGCTGTACTGTAGAGTGTGACCTTTGAACTGCTCTTTGTGTTCAAATGGGCAACATCATTCTGATATAATGCTTATGCCCATCAGTTATATACCACAAGGGAAATCCACTCGGATTGAAGGACACCAGAATAGGACACAATATTTTCACAGTCCCACAGCGTTAGGTATAATAGGTAGCTACATGTTCTCCCTATGTATATACATAACTGATATCTACTGTCTCACCTATGCTTATCTACTGCCTTTGCTATGCTTAATCTTTCCTCTCTCTTCTTTTTTCCAGTTGTGTCCAATCATGATTTACACAACAGGCCAAATTCCACGTAATAATAACACTGTCACTCAATACTTTATCACCCCTCCTCCAGCACATCTTGTCTCTGTACATATATGTTCATTATGTTCATGGTTTATGTTTAGCTGCTTTCTTTCTGTCTGTATAATTATTATGCAGTGTTTGTTGTAACAAATGCAGACTTTTTTTATCACCACCATAACTATAAAAACTGGTTAAGAAAGCAGCGCGTATGCGATGGCGAAACAATGAATGTATGGTAGTCTATGAAAAGGCACTGAAGTGCAAACCCTCGGCGAACTGCGCGCTATTACTGCACAGGCGTGATGAGAGTGAGCACGCATTTATAAGTATAATAATATACCATCCTAACATTCAGACATAGAATTTCACTATCCAAATGAGTACACATTCAGACATACGTAGGATTTCACTATGCAAATGAGTGTACATTAGAACATAGAATTTCACCATCTAAATGAACACCTGTTCGGACAGAATTACACCATCCAAACCAGTGACGCACCAATTTGTAATACAAAATCACTATGAAAATAGTACCATAATGTCAGGGGTGGTGTCATGTAGCTTTGTGCAACTTTGCTGTGTAATGACCCCTTGTTTCTTCCTTTTTGGTGCTTCAAGCCATCCCTATATCCCCCTTTCATTTTGAAGAAATGATTTTTCCACTTGTAGAAATAACATTCAGACATAGAATTTCACTATCCAAATGAGTACACATTCAGACATACGTAGGATTTCACTATCCAAATGAGTGTACATTAGAACATAGAATTTCACCATCTAAATGAACACCTGTTCGGACAGAATTACACCATCCAAACCAGTGACGCACCAATTTGTAATACAAAATCACTATGAAAATTATAGTACCATAATGTCATGTAAACAAACTGTTTTTTGGCATTAATGACCCTCCATAGTGTGTAAGCTACCTTCATTTATACAGCATACAAAGGTATGTAATTTTGGCACTGATCACACCTCATATTTCGGTCGTGTTTCACGCCGTAACTCTCAAATGCAGCAGTTTCAGAGAAAGTCTTACATATTATGTTTTGACCTTTATCCGACGCTGAATACATGGTATTGTTTGTGGAGCGATGAGATGTCATGGAACAGACTGCCTGCCTGCCTGACTGACTGACTGACTGACTGGCAGACAGACACACACACACACACACACACACACATATACAACTACAGTAACCCTCGCTGCGCATGCGCGCCGAGGGTTAATGATATATATATCTGTGCTCATGCAAGTACTTGTTCTTGAAAGAGAGTGTACCAACATATGTACCTTAGATAATGCTTACAGAAATCCCCAGCGGTCAGAGGAGGAAAAACTAATTGAAATTTATCCAGATGACTACCAGCGATGATAAGTTCATGTATGATGACTGAGAGTAAGATCAAAGGAATTCCAGCTAGTTCAAACAACGTACACGCGTAGTGAGCGCTTCCTGCTGAGTTTACAGGTAGTTATACCATAAAGAGGCCATACGATTTCCCCATACTTTAGCTGTATGTCACTTATTTGCATAAACCACAATGGGTATATGGTAGTTTGATACGATAGTAGGAAATTGGCAGCGTGTTATGCAATTAGGGGGCTTTTACACTATTTGTGTGATGCTGTTTCTTTACCAGAAGGGAGTGTTTTCAGGCTGGAATGGCCAGAAACTGCTCTAGTATATAAAACTAGCTAAAAACTGCTTCCCGACGCGTAGGCTCCCGTAGACTGGAACAGTATGTGACTTTCAGCTTTCTTGCTTACTGCAACAGGCTGCATTTGAGAGCGCTGGGTTATAGCGGGAGAGAAAGCGAGCCAAGAGGCGGCAGCTACAAAAGCTCGTGGGTGAGTCCGAGCAGCGAAAAAGTGACTTACCTGTAGAACGTTGAACTCTCGAAAAAATGACCATGGCTTCTGCACAACCGCCCAGCTTGACCAAATAAAGCGCTTATGCAGCTGTCTCCCGCTCCGATCGATCGCTAGCTCCGTACACTCCAGGGTACCGGGGTGTGCGTTAAAAAGAGGGCGTTTTGAAAGCTCTCATTGGTCAGAGCCTACGGCGGGATGTCATCATACACACACACGTTATACGATGGCTTTGCTTGTGGTTTACTGGTTGTACACTCGTGGCGTCAGTTTTGATAGACCACTCGGGCTACGCCCTCGTGCCCTATCAAAACTAGCCACTCGTGTAAAACCAGTAAACCACGCGCCGCCATCGTATAACCTATACTTATTCCAGCTGGTGTCATAAGTGAAGAGATAGGACCAGTGACCGTGTATATGCAGGCAAGCGATCAGCTCCAAATGATGGTTGTCAGTGGCATCTTATACTCGGGTTGTTGCACAAAACAAACAACTCGTAATTCCAGCGACTGGTATTAGCTAGCAGCAGAGAAGACAAAGAGCAAGCTATTGACAGACTTTGTGTGTGTGGCTACAGTCATCACCTTTTTAAAACCCTAGGTGACACCGAGAGCTAGAGTAGTCGGTTAGTGTGTCTGCCCATTGTTAGATCAGAATGTTCATAATTATTACCCTCGGCGCGCATGCGCAGCGAGGGGACTGTAGTTGGGGGTGTGTGTGTGTGTCTGTTACTCTACATCTCACTTTTCGAATGTTTGTTCGTCTCACAAACGATATGACCTACTCAACGGGCAATGAAGGTCAGAAGATTTGTGGGGTTTTCTCTGAAAATGCTCCGTTGCAAAGCTAGAGCGCTTCCAGCATTGTATGGCTAATACCGGTAGTCGCCATTTTATCGCTGGCGGATAATGCGCATGCGCTTATATTTAGCACAGGCTTACCTACCTCGACCGGGTCCGCTTGCTCTGTCTATCTTGAAGGCACAAGAAGTCACAACGAATGGCGTGTATCGACTCTCGCGTGCTATCTTACTGTAGCTAGCCCGTGTCAGACACTGCGGGCTACTTCGCCGAGGGTTTGCACTTTAGTGCTTTTCATTATGTTTTGTTCTAGTGTAGCTGCTAAACTATGCTGTGAGTGTTCTGTGGCAGAGGGAAGAGGCAGGTCCACCCCAGCCCTCATCACGGTGTATGAGATGTGCCTCTCAACTGTTAATTAATACCACATCCCGTAACAATCACAATCATGAAGTTTAGTTCAAAAGACACACGTGCAGCAGTATGGCACAACATACACAATGACTGGTAATGACTACTCACACATGCAAAAACAGGATCTAATTTATGCTACATGTTAGTAGTTTCAAATGATAGTATGGGTTCTCAGTGATAAGTAGGTAATAGGGGGAAGAAATGATCATCTGTGGTGGGTTTATGGTGCATTGGTGGGAGCATCATAGGTATCCAGTATTTCATACACAGGTTGTATACGACAAGCTGAGGGGGTAACATAAGAGTGTGGGTGGTGATAATGTCCAGAGTAGCCTAGTCCAGAGCCAACCTGTATAGATGGAGGTCTGATCCTTGGAACTCATCTGGAGATCCTGTTCCTTACCCTTTGCCACTGACACCATTTCATTCTCCACCACCCTGCCAGGAGGACACAGCGCTGTGCGTAATAGAAAACAGAACCAATATCCCACTGATGCATCCGTGATACATGATTATAGCAACTCACTTGGTTGCCTCTTTTTCTTGTGATAGCAGTAGAAGGTGATTGCCCCTATGGTAATGACCACAATCACCAGCACTACTACTAGTACTGGTATGGCCCAGGAGATGTGCTGAGCATCTGCTGAAAATAATTATGTGCAAGAAATTAGCATGTTTCCATACATACTGCATCTTTGTACTTTGTGAGCTGTTGTCATCTTTAACTTGTGGCACTTCAACTGGAATGAGGCAGTGGTAGTCAGTGTAGCCAGGAGGGCAGACACATGAGTAGCTGCCTGAGACTCCTATACACGTCCCCCCATTCTGACATGGGTTGTCACGACACGGGAGCAGGTTTAACTCGCAATTTGAGCCCTAAAAATGGATGGTAAGATTCACGAAGACACCTGGCTTTTTCACCAGAAGTAAAACCACATACATCAAAGCCATCACTACAGTTGCAGGAGTAGTTGTGGACCAGCTCTTGACACACCCCACCATTGAGACAAGGGCCTGAGAGGCACTCATTGAGTAGCTGACAGTTGGGACCATAGAATCCACTGGTGCATGAGCAGTTGTGGGAGCCGATGAGGTCCTGAGATGGGGGAAATTATCTGGCTGCACTGGAGCGAGTTTCTTTCTCTTATTAGTGAACGCTGAAACCTTGAAAGTAGCCATGCCTAACAAAAATCTTGAAAGTATATAACTTTGCACACAGATGTTTCCAAAAAATATAACAGTGAAACCCAGAGGGACTTTCCTACCCAGGCAGACAGACACTATATACCAGTGGCGCTCGTGCTACATGACCTACTCGAACTTTCCCCGCGCCCAATAATTTAATTCTATAGAGTACGAACAAATACAGTACTTTAACTGGTTTGTAGTCCTTTGCCAAGCAGTTCTCTATTTTCAAACTGTTCTCTATTTTCCCATAACTGTTCTCTATTTGTGTGGTCCACCCCACCTAACCACTAATCGTCTGTATTAAGTTCAAAGTTCATTTTTGCAGGACCCGAGGGGCATATGCATAATAAATACGGAGGAAGGGTGATGACATACAATAAAATAAAGGCTATGAAGTATACTATTTCAGTGCCAAGGGTGGGGGGGGGAGGGGGAACTACTTAGACTAATTTGGCATATTTGGCCGCATAGCATGACCACAGGGTAGTAGTGGAATACTAAGACACTCAAAACAGGTGTCTTAGTGGATAAGAAACCTGATTACGCATTCAACATTAACATGCCATTTTCTAAAGCCTGCAAATGCACTATGTGGATGGGATTCAATAAGACAATTCTCTATGTTTAACTTACAAAACATGTTCCACCATTCTGACATGGAGCAGAAGCACAGTCATCAATGTTAGATTGACATCTGTCTCCAGTCCATCCCACAGTACACTCACACTCATACCCTCCCAACTGATCCTATACATGGATTGTAAATAACACCCAATCATCCCCTCATCCGGTCATTTAAACACAGTCTCACCAGGCATGTTCCACCATTCTCACAAGGGTATGGATTACAGTAGTTGTGTTCACGATCGCACTCTTCCCTTGATCCACTAGGACAGACACACTTAAACCCATTCTGAATAACCTGAGACAGAATTATTATTGACCTTGATAGCTACAATACCGCAGTTAATTTGTTGCCACTCACAGCACAGGTGGATTGATACAGACATGGATTGGGATCACATTCAGTTTCACATTCCACATCAGGGGAGCCAGCTGGACAGTGACATATGTAGCTCCCTGTCCGTCATTAGTGCAGAGCATTCCTTGAGAGCAGGGACCACCAGCATTTCTGTCACATGGAATGAGATCTGAGCACATACTGGAGAAAGGGTGGTTAATGTGGTCTGAATGGTGTGTGAGGATGTGTATGAATAACCAACCAACTTCGCAGTGGGCACCAAAATAGTTTTCCCTGCATATACACTCCCCTGGAACATTGCAGAAGCCACCAATCATAGCTAATAGGGAATTCACCGGAAAAGTGATCATTGTAGAAGCATCTTTGCATTTTTGAACACTCACAGCATCCACTAGATGGCTGACACTGGTGGCATCCAATTCCAGTCCAGCCAGAGCGACAAAGACACTGGCCAGGATTACGGCAGTAGCCTCCTGCACTGTTGCAGTTACTGGCACATACAGCTTGAATTGAGTGAGGGAGGGAATGTAAGGGTAGGAGAGTAGCAAACAGCTTTTCGTGGGATAAAGCAAACAACTCACGAGTAAGGCAGTTTCCGCTGGGATTTGACCAACCAGCCAGGCATAGTTTGGCTCCAGTAGAGGAGTGGCATGAATAGTGACCCAAATTATCGTTTGTAGCCCTACAGTATGTGTTACAGTTAGAGCCGTAGTAGTTGGTGTTACAAGAGAGGGAGAAGGAGAATGTTATGCGGGAATTTTCACTCTGTCCAACATACTCTCTCTGCAGAGGGGTGAGAAACATTATAGAAGTAAAGAAGCAGGGAAATAGGAGTGGTGGGGGAGTCGTTTATATATAACACTACATCATGTACTTAAATGGGGTTACACATCATCAACAATATTGAAATTCTCCAAGACTATTTTGAACCATTCATTGGTCATGGTCCTTGACAGCGGGGTGTTCACCTCCATTTTCTTGGTCTTACTTTAGGAAAATCCGATAATTAGCAATGACAATGAGATGGTTTGTCTCCAAAATACCCTTGGGCCATGGTTTGTGAATGGAAGGGTTAAAATTAATTGTGGCTAGGTAGCTATGCTATGTTTTTAGTCATGGTAGGAGAATAGGAGAAACTACACTGACAGGCACTTTTTAGCATAGACACTAGACTGCTTAGCTGCTACAAAATTAGCTACCCAAACAGACCCACATACATACCCACCATACTTTTTCCAGACTACCTGTGAAATGGAATGTCCAGGACTCAGGTATTCTTCTGCATACACATTGTCGACATGATCATCTGAACCTACTGGGTCTTCGTCATATACAACCACCAACAGCTGAAATCCACCCTTTACGGTGAAGGGAAGAAGGGAGGGAAATGGTGAGATATTAGGGTACTTCAGTTTCTGAAATAATACCTTGAACTCACTGTTATTAGTTATTAAACTTATAAAATCAGTGCCACCTTTTGGTGAGTATTAAATGTGCTCAGCATGTTAAGCATGAGTGGCATGAAAGACCACCCAACTCATAATGATAGGAGCTTATTAATATTAAGTAAATGTAACTCTGAATCTGTATGTATAGAGCATGTTTAAAAGACCATTAACGGTTGTCTTCGGCTCCAACCAGCATTTCAGGCTTTAGTGTGAAAAGCCACTGCCAATCCTATGTATTGTGCTAAATTTTCAGTCGGGCTGTATATACCATGAACAAAAGCCCTCCTGAAATGCATTCGCCTTCTTCCCCCTTGGGGAACTAGCAATGGCGGTCCAAGACAACATTTCTCAATCAACTCCCATATCTTAACCACTTGAGTCAAAAGTAAAAACCACTCATTCGAGTAATCCACCGTTCCATAAAAGCACTCATTCCTGCATAGCAAGAAAATGGGATGCCCATAGCAACCAAGAAAATGTTTGGAAATACAGCAAAACGTTCGAAAATGGACCTTCAAAACTATGGACACGTCCCATACTAGTACATCAGTGTAATATTTTACCTCTGGATAAGGCAATAAAGAGCACTTACAATGTCCCCGAGGTATCGCTTGTTCATAGGTTTTACAGATTTCTCTCATATCGTAAGATCACTTTGATCTTCCACGCATACAGTCTATCACAAGGCAATTTTTCACACTTGGAAATATCCATGTGCTTAGCCCCCTGGATGTCATGGACTCCTGGGTATCAGGTAGACGCTCTATATAGGGATGGCACGAGTGAAATCTCACGTGTTACGCGGGCCTTGCCCAGCGCCTTCATTGTTTGTCCCCCAGGTTATAGCTATCATTTTAGTCTGATTACTGAAGCCTGCCTATGAAACCACCTCACCATATGTGCCACAACCTAATTGCATCATTGTTGGAGATACTACGCATACAGCCTGCTTCAGGTAGGAGCAGCCCATTAGCTTCTGCTTTTTAACAGTTATTCTACAACACCCGTGAACATCATGCAGAGTTACTGAAAATGCAGTCAGTGTTGTCATAGGGCATGAAAAATAGTGGAAACAAGTGGGAAAATCATTTCTTCAAAATGAAGGGGATATAGGGATGGCTTGAAGCACCAAAAAGGAAGAAACAAGGGGTCATTACACAGCAAAGATGCACAAAGCTACATGACACCATCCCTATATCTTTGTGTTATTGTTCACAACTAAAGTGACAAAGATATAGGGATGGTGTCATGTATATAGCTTTGTGCATCTTTGCTGTGTAATGACCCCTTGTTTCTTCCTTTTTGGTGCTTCAAGCCATCCCTATATCCCCCTTCATTTTGAAGAAATGATTTTTCCACTTGTTAAAGAGGCCCAGAAGGGCAGCAAGAGCTGGCAAGTAGCTATCTAGCTACAGAGATTTTTCATGATTCCTTATGAGTTGATCAAAGTAAGGGATCTAATTATATCAGGACGTAAAGTTGCATTACTCTATCCATCCCTTACACTTCACACTCTCACCTCCCAAATGGTGCCAGAGAACACCATTGGATTTGGAACCCCACTATATATTTGGTATGTCCCAAAATAGAAATCGTCATCTCCAACTTCTCCCGTTGTGAAAGACCCACGTGGACAGTTGTTCCAGTTGTTGTCACGACTGGCCCCGTGGCCCCGCATACAGAAGTTGAAACGGTTTTCACACTGACCACCAAAGAAGCCATCACAGCTACTGTCATCTGATAGCCTGCTGTCACTGTTCCGGTAGCGATGAGCTCTCACTCGGAGCTGATAGGCCGATTCCACAGTTTGAAACTGTTGGTCAGAGAGAACTATGTAACAAAAGCTGAGGAGCAGGATCATTGATGCAGCTAATCCTTGCCCACTAATAGCAAGCTACACGCTTTTATTAGCATGAGTTGTTTATCTTTATCCTATGGGCTAGATTAATGCATTGATGCGCACTCCGGCTGACCTACTTTGCTTGGACCTTACTGGAAAGTTGTTAGCTAGCAGCTATATAGCTACCACCATTATAATAGCTCGCGATTCTTGCTAGGTATATTATATATAGCTACTGTAGTTTGCGGGCAGAGGAGAGATGGCTAGTGCTCGAGACTATTACCTGAAGAAAAGTGACCGTCACTAGTAGGATTGCAGTCTGCGTGCACCTCCAGTCTCGCATGATCAAATTTAGGCGAAGTGAATAGCACAGATCTCTACAACCGTTAGATCTCCGCAACATAATTGGCGAGCAAAGCGAGCCTATAAATAGTCGTCTAAAGAGGGACTATCCCGTCAACCATACTGTAGTGCAGTGCGTGTCGCGCTGCGTGCAAAGCAGAAAACGCGGGAGATCGATCTTTGCGCATGCGTGCTCGCCGGGAGCTAGCTAGAGGGTGTGGCTAATCGGCGTTGTATATACGTACGTGCAGGAGAGGCTCAAGTCATGGCTTCTTCACAAGGTAAGAGGCCTTTTTCCCTACAAATTATTCTACTGAAAGCTAATGTGATCAGTTCCACAGAGGGTCAGGGACATTCTGAGTGGAGTGGTTGCTGGAAATAGAGCAAAATTAGCAGAGGCCATCACATTAGGTAAGACAGGTAACAAGGGTTGAGGAGTAAGTATAAGTTTTTCTACATCACAGTATTCCCCCACGAAAACATTCACCTCACCTCCCTCTCTCCAGTGGAGTCCAAACACCCCACTAAGCACCGGCAGGCCCAGTGGCTGTTGGCAGAGGTTCTCTCTCGTCGGAGGAGACATCTGCTGGGCCAGCTGAGACCTCCCTTCAGACTCGGGGTGTCTGGTCCTCCCGGAGCTGGCAAGTCCTCCTTCATTGAGAGACTCGGCCAGCTGCTGACTGGACGAGGACTCTGGGTGGCCGTGCTGGTGAGAGTGCCATTTCCCGTCTGCTCTTTCTCATTACCTTCCTCTTCCTTTCTTCTGCCCCTCTTTCCTTCCTTTCCTCCCTGCCACTCCCCCCTTTCCACTTAATTTTCTGTCTCTGCCGCTGTTGTCTCCCTTCTTTTGCCACTCCCTGGGAGGTATACATCAACTTCCTCTTTTACTTCCTCCTTCCCTAATACTTCCACCACTATTTTCCTTTCCCTCCCTTCCTCTCTCCTCCTTTACCACTCCTTCCCCCCCTACACTGCCACTCTGTAGGCAGTGGATCCATCATCACTACGTACGGGAGGCTCGATCCTGGCAGACAAGACGCGGATGCCTCATCTGTCGAGGGACCCCCAGGCCTACATCAGACCCTCCCCCACAGGAGGCAATCTGGGTGGAGTGACTCGCAGCACCAGTGAGGCCATCACTCTCTGTGAGGGTGAGAGGGTTTGAGACATTCTGTAGGTAGTCCATAAAAACTATACAGTGGAGTCCTCATTCTATGGGGCTAGATAGGATCCAAGGGTGTGTTTCCAGTGTCCAGAATTCCATACTAAGTATGTTTGAGAATCCACTGTATTAGGTCACATTTTCTGTGTTCAAGAGCTGCAGAGATTTGTGTGTGCGTTCAATACATGTCGTGGTGCAGGAGCAGGATATGATGTGGTGGTGGTGGAGACAGTGGGTGTGGGGCAGTCAGAGACAGAAGTCAGCAAGATGACTGACATGTTCCTTCTCCTCCTCCCTCCTGCAGCCGGAGATGAACTACAGGTAGCTTAGCGTACAGTTTGGCGTAGCAACAAGTATGCACTAGGTTTTTTAGAGTGTACAATACAGTGTCTTGAAGGCAATGCCAGTGTAGAGAGTTTGACTGCTCAAGAGTCATATGTTCTTTCAAGCTGTAGCAGACAACACTGCCTTGAGTCAGAACCTATACAATGGAGCCAAGTGAAGCAGCTATACCTGCAACCTACACACTGACACCCATCTATATACCTCTTGTTTGCAGGGCATGAAGAGAGGGATAATGGAGCTGGCGGACCTGGTGGTGGTCAACAAGGCAGACGGAGACCTCCTGCCGGCAGCCCGGAGACTGACTGCAGACTACACCAGTGCCCTCAAACTGCTCAACACCAGCAGGAAGGACAAACTATGGACACCCAGGGTAAGTTCTTTTCACTATGTCTATACCCTGCTTCTCACATCAGAGAAATGGATAGCTGAAAATTCCATTGTCAAGTTTAACACAAGCATTAGGTTTGCCTTTTACAATCAGAGGAATCTGAAAATAGCTACCTAGCTGCCTAGCTTGTTAGCCATTGGCATTGTAGACCAGGCACTTTGATAGCTCCAGGCTTGTGTGTATATAGTAACAATCCACCCCCACAGGTCCTGATGGCATCAGCTGCTGAGAACACTGGCATCCAGGAGACCTGGGACACAGTCGAGCTGTTTCGGACTACAATGGAGGTATACACCCTGCATTCACTAACCAATCGGTGTAAAAGTGTGCAGGTTGCTGAAAATAATGGTCATTCATGTAAAGCCAGCAAAAATGTAGTGCTCCTCGAAAATTAACAATCTGCAGTGTAATACAGCTTCTGCACACGATCATGAGTTAAGACCCCAGATTTATGTATAAGTCACCCTGTGAACCTTTTACACCCTGCATTCTCATTGGACCCCCTTTTTCACATGCAGCGTGTGTATAATCATTAATATTTACACATCGGGGGGGGGGGGTGGTTGTTGGTTTTTGTCCTTTTCTTTTGGCTAGTGTAATGATTTCATGACTCTCTCTCTCCTCCCATCAGTCAGCGGGGGAGCTGGATAAGGTGCAGAGTATCCAGAGGAAGAGCTGGCTGTGGAGTCACGTGGACCACCAGCTGATGGCCAGGTTCAGGGACTGGCCTGGCATGGCCGCTCTCGCTGCCTCTGTGGAGGAGAAGGTGGCAGAGGGAGCCATGGCTCCAGGGACAGCCGCCGACCTCCTCCTGGACCACTTCTTTGACTCCACACACAGACAGTAGAGCTCCATTATCTAATATTTCATGAGGTTGTATTTCATGCTAGTGTGGGTGGAAAACACAGGGCACTGAAACGTCAATATAGCCTGGGGGCTTACTTATTATACATTGCCTGTCAAGACATACTAATCAAGAGCTCTGATTTCCCCCATTTTTCCAGGAGACCTCCCAATTTTCAATGTTTTTATCCTATATCTTCCAGACATGATAATAATTATTACACATTTCCCGAAGTACGGTTATCACGTGGCCCTGTGGTTGTGCGGCTTCTACGTCTGATTTATTTGCTGCCTCTGCTACCATTTGTACTGATACATACTTCTCTCATTCGCCCTGTGCCAACCCATGCTTCACCAGTGCACAGAATGTATGGATACATGTTCAGTGTAAGGGCTGCCTGTATTTCAAAGCTTGCACAATTATCACAGGGGCTGCCTGTATTTCAAAGCTTGCACAATTATCACAGGGGCTGCCTGTATTTCAAGGCTTGCACAATTATCACAGGGGCTGTCTGTATTTCAAGGCTTGCACAATTATCACAGGGGCTGCCTGTATTTCAAGGGATGCACAATTATCGCAGCATTCTTCAGCTGACCTGATCGCATTCTTTAGCTGGATCCTGTTTACCCCACCTTGGTCCTTGGGTGAGGAACACCCAATTTGTTTGTCAGCACACACAAAACTTTATTGCCCCATTGTACCATGGTTTGCCAGACAATCTTATCCAGCTGCCTCATACACCAGACAAGTGTCTATCGACAATACAATTCATGTATACTCTAAGGGTGGGTAGACTTGGTGCAACGGACAATGTATGCCATCTTATCCCTCTTATCAACATAGCCAGCTGCGTCATATACCGTTGCCTGCAGTGCAAGGAGTGAGAGCAACATCTCGTCAACTGTTTCACACATTATTTACCAGTAGAAGAGCTGCTTTGTGAAGGTGACCAGTTGCAGAAGCCTTCTGGAAGTCAGTAACAACCTCCTCCAGTACTGGTATGACTTCCATCACATCTACACAAAGAACGATTTGAGTTCCTTCACTTAGCTGTTTTAGCACGCTGTTGAGGTTCACTATGCAACCACCTTGTTGTTCCAAGTGTCCTCTGTCTTGATGTGTTGTAAGGAGAGAGGCCTGGGCGAGCAAGAACTGAGACATTCCTCTGTGGACTACATCACCTGAGGACAGTGCGGCAGAGTTAGCGGACTAACATGGCAATACAGGCTCTCTATACGTACCACAGGTCTGGAAATGCAGTAGACACCGTGTGGCTATACTTGCACAGGCGTACGGTGATTCCAGCTGTAACTGAAGAACATGGCATGCAAACACGTTCTGATCTTTTGCAACATTGATTGTGCTCCAGGAGGTAAGAACAAGTACTGTCACATGAACACTTTAAAAGCACTAAATTGCAAACCCTCGGCAAACTGCGCATGCATGGCGCGGTACCACTAATTGATGGGCTGGGCTATTAGTATGCGTTTACTCGTGGTACAACTCGCGGAGAGTCTGACATGGGCTAGCTACAGTAGTAGATAGCATGTGGGAGTCGATACATGCCCTTTACAGTATTGTCATTAGGTCGCGGACTTGCTAAAACTAATGTGTCAGAGCAACAGGAATGCACCGTACTGCCACATGCCCATAGTCCTGACCTGTGCCTGAGCCAGCCTGAGCTGAGTGGTGAAGGGAGAGAGATGGTGGGTGTGGCACAGGGCCAGAGACTCCATGAGGTGGGGCAGGGAGAGAGCTGGCCGGCCACTGGCACACTCCACCTCCCCCAACAGCTCCAGTGCTCTGCGAGAGAGGGGAATGATGGTGGACGTTCATGTGATTAGCATATCACGTATACTTGTATGATGTCATCTTGTGTCATCATTGAGGTCACTATATAAGTGTGTGCACACTAGTGAGTCATCCTATGTATGTGTACATACGAGCTTGCTGAAGAGAATATATTGTGCTACCAAGACCAGGAGTATATAGGTCCAGGCCTAGCGCGTTCTGCTCAGTACATTAACAATGGGTAAGATATGGCAACAGTTACAAGGCTACGAGCAGAAAACCTTGATCAATGAAAAGCACTGAAGTGCAAACCCTCGGCGCACTGTGACGCGCACGCGTAAGTAAACACATGCGCCGTAACACTAATTGATGGGCTGGGTTTAGTTTTAGCTGTTACTCGTGGTCTCTCTTGCCAGCTCGCGCAGAGTCTGACGCGGGCTAACTACACTACTAGATAGCATGCGAGAGGCGATACACGCCCTGCCTTGCTTCTTCTGGTGCCTCCGAGATACGCAGAGCACGCGGATCGATCATGCCGTAGTAAGCCATCCCGTCCGTTGTGTATTTGGATATTGGCTTTTTCGCGCTCTAGCTTTGCAACGGAGCATTTTCATAGAAATCTGTTCGAAATTTCTGACCTTCATTGCCCGTTCAGTAGATGGCATCCTTTGTGAGACGAACGAACACTCGAGAAGTGAGATGACGAGTAACAGACAGACAGACAGACACACAAACCCAACTACCATAACCCTCGCTGCGCATGCGCGCCGAGGGTTAATGAATCTGACACGGGCTATTATAGCTACACTAGTAGTAGATAGCATGCGGGAGTCGATACACGCCCTTTGTTTGTTGTCTCGTGGCAGAAAATGTTTAACAGACAGACGGACAGACAAACTAACGGACCAAGTACTGTAACCCTCGCTGTGCATGCGTGCCGAGGGTTAATGACACAATATCATGCAATTTAGGGTTTGCCTGACTTTGAGCCCTGCTGGCTAAGCTGCACACCTAACGTAGGTGGTAGAGCACTCTGCCCAGACTGCAGAGGTTTGTGGGTTCGAGTCCCACCCAAGGCCACTGAGTTGTTCCAGGTGTCGTGATTTGAACTTGCTCACACTTTAGTTATGACCCATGCGTGTCACAGTCAAGGTATGAAGAAACATACCGGCGTTTTATCTCAGGAGAGGACTTCTTCAGGAGCTGTAGAGCAAGTCTCCGAGCCTCAGTGTAGTTTCCCACGGTACAACTGAGAATGGCAGACCTGCAGCCAACACCAACAGCCAGTGGTAGCGGGAGACAGTAGCTACCACCAACAGCCAGTGGTAGCGGGAGACAGTAGCTACCACCAACAGCCAGTGGTAGCGGGAGACAGTAGCTACCACCAACAGCCAGTGGTAGCTGGAGACAGTAGCTACCACCAACAGCCAGTGGTAGCGGGAGACAGTAGCTACCACCAACAGCCAGTGGTAGCGGGAGACAGTAGCTACCACCAACAGCCAGTGGTAGCGGGAGACAGTAGCTACCACCAACAGCCAGTGGTAGCGGGAGAAAGTAGCTACCACCAACAGCCAGTGGTAGCGGGAGACAGTAGCTACCACCAACAGCCAGTGGTAGCGGGAGACAGTAGCTACCACCAACAGCCAGTGGTAGCGGGAGACAGTAGCTACCACCAACAGCCAGTGGTAGCGGGAGACAGTAGCTACCACAAATTTGCAAATTGGAAACTGTCAAGAAAATAATTGCACGTGTTGCAGTTTGCTTTGAAGAGGCACTTTTACAGATGGCCCTCCCAAACTATAAAATGTTTTCTCTCAAAATCATTGGCTAGCGAAGCTTCCTAGTCATCTGAATGAAGGAACTTTCTATATATTTATACGTGGCAGGTACTGCACATACTGTAATGTGATTCTTGTAAGTATGCACCACACCATTCTAAATATATGCTCGTGCTCGCTCACCAAAAATGCACCGTATTCATTCCAGTACAGAAACCACTGTATTACCTGAGAAGGGCACTCTGGGAGTCCAGAGACTGGAGTCTGGCTAGGTGTCGCCTGGCAGCCCCTACATCTCCGGTTCGAACACACCAGTCAAACCACACCTCCTCCTTACACTGACACAGCAACTGCACCGATATTGACAAAACCACCCCTTGGGGAAGCCAGAGCGAGCCCCACCTAGTCTCTAGTCATTACAATCGTAGTTACAAATTTACGCATTACACACTCATCTCAAACCACACCTCCTCCTTACACTGACACAGCAACTGCACCGATATTGACAAAACCACCCCTTGGGCAAGCCAGAGAGTAAGGGGGTTGACTATTGGACTATTCCATACTTTAACAACGGTGAAAGAAGATAGGATGGTGGATTATTCATTTATATGCCTGCAAAAAATGCAAAATCATTGAAGCCCTTATTGGAGGTGAGAGGGGAGTAGGGCAACCAAACAGAGGTAAGATGTGAATAGGTATGTGTACAGTGAGATGGTGTTGCTTTTTAATGCAAGCTGTGCTTTGGCTTCACGTTCCAAGCAGGGCTGTGTTGAACTTGTCGTACTGCACTTTCCTAGCATAGTCTCACAATGATATCACTCCATCTAAAACTAGTATGTATTCTGATGGCTAGGTTTCAAATTGTTGCATTTACGTGTCTGCTACCTTCTCCCACACCGAGAGAGCAAGAAGAAAGTGAAAGCTTACCTTGTAAGATGCTCCATTTGACTCCAGGAGTTTCTCAGCTGACCTGAATAGTGCCTTGACTGCTCCATACTCTCCCTGTGTTACCAGGACACCGGGAGAACAGGAGGAGGAGAGGAAAGATGGACAATAATAGGAAACCAAACCATAAGTACGGCCATACGCGGGCTGTTGTCGCCAAAAAAATTTTTCGCTTACTACATTTTGTAACAATGTTTGCCAATTTTTACAGATTGTTAGCATTGGCTTTGAGGAGAAATGAGTGGTGAGCTAACCGTGTGGAGAAGGTGTCTTGCAGTCATGCAGACACTGATGACACAGTTCTCTCTACCCTCTAGCTCCATGGGTGGTGGATCACATGACATCACATGACCTTGCAACTGGCAGTAGAGCTGACTCACATGACTACAATAAAACACACACAGGGAATCAACACAAGCATTTGTACCAGATTTATAAGTACAAACAGAGGCGGGAACTTCACTCTAACGAGTTTGTGAATTTTGGAGCTTTTGAGCCAACCACGAAAGCATTCTGGGTGGGAGCAACTCTATGCCAACTTTTTTCACATCAAATCCTGGGTCCTTCAAAAGTAACACGCCTGTTGCAAGGTTACATCTTTGTGCAGAGGATGTAGTAATAGAGGTGAGACCTGAAGCCATAGTGGTCCCATATCTTGGCGAGGGCAGCCAGTGAGGCTCCTCTGTGAGATATCTTCTCTGGCCACCCACTGTACACCGGGACACAGTCCCCTGATCCACTGGATAGTGCCACCTGCAACACTCTGTGTCATCAGTGGGGAGGGAGGGAGGGATGCTTGCTCAGTGCATTTGAACACACCACACACTATTGGTGTGCACAGCAAGTGTGATATATGTGTTCTGTTCTGTACACATGCACTTGGACATGTATAATATTATAGCAGAGGACTAAACTGGCAGGCATAAATCAAGACAACAGCAGCTGTTTCTACTTGTCATAGGTACTATAAGGGGTCGTGGTCAGCTGAATATAAGTACAATACTGCAAGAAGTGGCGCTATTGCAGCCAAGAGGCAGGCAGACAGACTGACTGTGGAGGGCTCTCCCAGTGTCAGTAGAGCTCTGCTCTCCTCCAGTCTCCCCCAGCCTGCCAGACAGCTGAGGTGAGAGAGTGGCACACCAGTTGGGGGTAATACTGCCATGGATCTATCAACACGTGAGTGGGATCTTTGGCTAGGAAAGCCGACGGAACTCATGTTCCAAACTGTGCCTGTACTATATGTGTATCTGATACAGAAACTGCCTCACATACTGTAATGATACGTCATCACTCAACTATCCGAGTATTGCCAAACTCTTGGCTTTCTCTGAACTAAAAACTGTCTACAAAACTGTTCGACACATTAAC